CCGGTAAGGCCGAAGAAGACTAGAAAAAGCCAAACCGAAACCATTTTCAATTTATATTAAATCTAAAAATCTTCACCCTAAAATGTGTGGTTTAAATATTTTTATTTGCCAACGAAAGGCTGGGTCACTGCCAAACATAAATACACATAATAGATAAAATTAGCTAATTTGAACAAATATAAATTATTAAATAATAGGAGAATATACTACAATTATAAACCTTCAATCTTACATTGACTTATATTCTTAAGACTAGTTTCTGACAACATTAATGTACCTCAGCGCCATTTTTAACACGCGTAATTATATGTTTCGCAGTTGACCGGTAGATTGCATTTAATAATCACTTTTGTCTCACTGACAACATAACAAAAATAAAATGGTGGTGTTGTTTTTTACATAAAAAATAAATTAAAATTTTTTTGATTTTACAAAAAAGAAAAAATATTTTTTGAAAATCAAATTATTCTATAAAATTTAGTTTTTTTTTTGCTTTAAATAAATAAATTTTTACATATTGTTACATACATTCAAACTTGTGAGGTGATCAGAAACTTACTAATATTTAAAATAAATAAAAAAAAATTAAGTAAATAATTTTTAAAACTTTTTAAATGTGTATTTATTTGCGTTTAAAAATTGTTTTAAAAATGTGTGATAATAATAAAAAATATGTAATTTTGGGGGTAGCTTAACAATCTTTTGGGAAAAAAATTTTTTCTCAAGGGTTGGTAATTAAGACCGAGCCTAATATTTAGGCGGTTTTTTTTTACTATGTTTACTCTTTTAAAGCTGTCAAATTATACGTAAATAAAAAAGGTATAATAAAATTTTTTTATTTACTATGTTCACAGTTAAAAAAAAAAAATTAAATATTTCCGTATATAAATTTTAAGGTAAAATAATTTAATGTATAAACCATAATAATCTTATTTCAATGTAAACTCTCAATGTGAATGAATGAATGTGGTTTGCCATTAATTTTTATGTTTCAGTTATTACAAAAATTATGTCTGATAATCTCATTTTACTTCTTAATCAATTAAGTTATCAAATAGTTGCGGCATCTTATAATGGAGAAAAAAGGTTTAGTTCTACACGAGTGGATGATAATAATTTTAAAAAATGCGTTAAAAAATTAAGAAAATTAGGATGTGATGTTCTTCTTAATAAATCTAATACATTACCACCTCCGGATCCTTGTATAACTGATTACGGTGGTAATTGGAGCCCTGTGACGTTATTATCTGATTATGCAAAGTCACTGGAAACCAAGTTTTTAAAAAAATATTCTGATATTCTTAATAATAGTGTGAAATCTTTACAAGAGGGAGAATATGACTGTGTTAATGATTTACTAAAATTTTTACTTATTATTAGAGGACCTAGTCATGAAATTAAAAATGAGGTAATTGTCATTGCTAGTAATTATTACATTAATATTTTTTGCCTTTGTTAAATCATAAAATCTTTTATTTTTTTCTTTTATTAATAGGCTGATAAATTTACCAGTAACGATTCAAATTTTTCACTTTGTGATAGAGATTCATTTTATAGTCTATTAGATGAATGCATGCCATGTTTTACCAACAATGCATCTAGTAAATTTTCTCATCAGAAAAGTATAATATATGAAGAAAGTTGGACCAAGGCTTTCGGTGACAAATTTCAAAGTCTTGGAGAAAGTTCGAAAAAAAATTTTTTTTTACATTCAGGAAAAAAAAGTCTTGATTCCGTATTCAAAAACAATAATATTTCTCCTGCGCCTAGTCGAACAGCATTTGGTTTTACGGATATTTGTTCAGACAGAACAATCAAAAAGGACAAGAGAATTTTTGACAAGAAACATTTATATTTTACTGCTAATTCCTTATTGGACAGTTTTGTTGATAATCCAATTACTCATAAGTTACCTGGTATAAATATTTCTCGAAAAGAACAGCTTTCGCAAGACAATCAGTTAAAAAAAAAATTAGATATAAATAAAGAAAATGATCAAATTTCTGAAGACCTATCCCAAGTAAGTCTTTCAATAGACTCTGGAAGGAAAGTCGATGTAAGAAGAGACTCAAATTTTTTTCAAAGTTTCGATACTTTACGTGGGAAAAACGAAAAGAGTTCTGCGACATGTTATATCAGTGATGAAATTTCACTTCACCCCAATGATAAAAACATGAGCAAGGGTTCGCAGACATCATGCTCATCTTATTCGAAAGATATAATATTAGGACTTTGGGAACATGATAAAGCTTTAATAAAAGAATTCAGGCCGGAATTGGCTAGTTGTTTGCCTACCTTAAGAATGATTTCAATTTATAAATTCATTGAAGATGTAAAATATCTGTTAACAGGAATAAATAGTGAAACTTTTATTTATCAGTCAGATGAAAAAACATTTGTAATAAAATATGGAACGTGTTTGAGAGACGTCACACCGGAAAGCTTGTATCATTTTTCTAAAGAATTTGTTGAAATAGGAAATTGTTATAAATTATTAAATGATCGAGCTGTAAAAAATTGTATAAATGAATCAAAAACATGCAATACCATATTTCAGGTACACACATTTTGTAATATCTTTTTACAAAGAGTTTCAAATTATAAACCTTAAAACTTACTTTTCACTACTATACACTCTGTAACTTTGTAAAATTTTTTATAATTTAGGCATTTTGGAAAAGTATATATGACTACTTAGAACTTCATTATTCAATGATATTGGAAATTCCCATAAATGTTAATTTGATGTTGTTCAAGTCTATAACTTCAAATATATACGACATGATTATAACAATATCAAATATCTGTCAGGTTTTCGATGCTAAAACTTTACCGGAGGATGGAAAATTAATTACTTATTTGTTACAAATGTTGGAAAAAATAAATAAGAAAAATGTTAAAAATGTTGTCGTTGGTATACTTCAAAATTGTTGTTCGGTTTATCTTAGGTTTATAAAATATTACAACTACCTTCGTACCAGACAAAAAAAAAAAAAAAATTCTTTTATTCAATTCAAAAAAATCTTTTGTTTTTTTTTATTTAGATGTATTCTTCAACCTTGGATGTTTGCGGGTACTTTAAAACATGAAAATTGTGATTTTTTCATTGATTATTTGAAACAGAAAACAAATATCAAAAGTCGAACTTACTACAAATCCTTTCAAATAATTAAACAAAAAGTTCCAACGTTTTTAAATGGATTAGAAAAAAGTATATTAAACTGTGGGAAAAGTATTCATTTTTTAAAATTATTTAATTCGAAGGTAAATTCAATGAATATAACAAATTATGATGTAAAATTTTGTTTTAAAACAATTTTTTCCTTTTTGTAAATTTAGGATAAATTTTGTCAGCTTTTGGAAAAATCAGATTTTCCCATTTTGCAACTGTGCCTATCGGAAAACGAATTTGAAAAACTCGATGAAAAATTTAAAGAATACAAAGAAAAAGTGTTGAAAGAATGCGGAGAATTTACATCGTTGAAAAATCTAATGGAAAACGATAAGGAAAAAGAAAAGTGTTACGTCGAGTACGTGAAAGAGTGTAAAATGAAAGCGGAAAACGAAAGAAAAGAGAAAAAAATGAAACAATTGGAAAATTTCAAAAATAAAAAAGATATTCAAAATAAATTACTCAACGAAGAAATAAGTAAAATGAGAGCGGAAAAGGTTAGGAAAAAATTAGAAGAAGAAAATGCTATTAGAGAAATAGAAGAAAAGATAAAGAGAGCCGAGGAAAAGGAAGCGGACGCGATTAGGGAAGAAAAGAAAAAAATTATCAAATATTATAATAAAATGATGCGGGCTTTGGATTTCCAAATGGACATTGTCGAAACGAGAAAACAAAATCTAATGAAAATGAGTCGAAATTATTGTACGAACAAAAGTGTAACGGATTTGATAAACAACGATCAGAACGACAACAACAACACGGAAGTTATATTTGAAATGACGGAAAATGGCAACGATCAAATTTCACTCACGTCGGAAAATGTCGATTTAAATTCGAATCCGATTTTTTTCGATGCAATCAGTCAATGCGAAGACAATGATGGAAAACAATCTTGTGAAAAGGTTTTGACAGAACAAAACAATCACACGGTTTCGTTCGATGAAAATTCAAATGTCGAGGAATCGACGATTTTAAACAACAATTCCATTTCTCAAAACGCAGGAGCATTGGAATCTCAGGAAACGGTTAAAAATAACAACAAAAATTTTGATTTTAAAGGAGCTTCAATATGGAAAACTGCTTCGAGAGAAGCGGCAAGAAACAAAATCAAATGTTTGACGTCGGAATATGGCGGCGCGTTTTTCTCCACGGAGTCAAATCATTTCAACATGAAATCTTTGTCGGATAATATGAACAACGTGAAAAAATTGAAAAATAACGATAAAATTCAAACGTGTTCGAGTAGTCGTCGTGAGAATGATGAATCGAATTTGATAAAACGGATTTCATCGGAAGAAGAAGTGGCACAAGAAAAAGAAAAAAATTGCATCAATTACAAAGTACAAACGGTCGAAGATAGTCCATTCAAAAGAAATAAATCTCAATTTTTTTCCGCCGTTGATATTTTACAAATGGCAGAAGTTGAAAACAAAAAAGATTTTTCAAATTCAGAGAGCGGTGAAAAAGAGAAAATAACGAGTAGTAATAATAATAATAATAATAACGAATCTCCTTCGAAAGATGAAAAATCCGGAGGAAGTGATCGGGCGAACAACAATGACGTCATTTCCGATTCGGTGGGTTTGAAAAAAAAATCAAATTTGATATTGAAAAATCCAATGTACAAGAAAGCTTTGGTCAAAGATTTGAAAATATCGTCGCAAAAATTATCTTTCAAAGATGTCTTCAACGACGTGGAGGAAAAGGAAACCGTGAAATTTCACTCCAACACGGACGTGAATAAATTCGAAAGGTATTTAAGGAAAAGCATAATGATTCCTCTCGCGATACAAGAAAAATTAGCCAACGATGCTCTCTTGAATCATTTATTGGTGGGCGAAAATCTTTTGTCGCATTT